GCCAGATCTGACTCTGAGTTTGAGCGTTTGATTTATTCAAGGCAGGATGTGAATTCTAAATGGGGAGATAGCAGAGTTGTTAGATCTAGCAAATAAAAAGATTGCATGAGACACACATACACTAAAAAAGTATTCACTGTTTACTGAAATTCAAAGTTTACTTAGAGTCCTTGATTTTACCTGGCAACCCTGGAATACCAAACCCAAACTCACTGCCGTCAAGTTGATCCAATTCATAGCGACCATTCCTTGTGTTTCCAAGGTTGTATCTCCACGGAAGTAGATTGCCCAGTCTTTCTTCTGAGGAGTGGCTGGTGGGTTTGAACCACCAGCCCTATGCCTCTCTGCTCTAGCCTTGAGCTCAAAGGAGGGGCTGAAAATTCAAGGGCCAAATAAGAATAGAACGGCCAGGTCTAGGCCAACTTGGAATAATAGGGGTCAGAGTGAAGCAAGAGTAAAGGCCCTGACTAAAAAACATTGTTAAAAAATGCTATGCTGGCCCCTTTTTTGCCCCCTTGGGAGCTCTAGTAGCATAGTGCCTAAGGCGCTTGATTGCTAACCAGAAGGCTGGCGGTTCAAACCCACCAGCCACTCCTCGGAAGGAAGATGGGGCAATCTACTTCTGTAGTGATACTGCGTTGGAAACCCAAGGAGGGGTCGCTAAGAGTCGGGTCCGACTTGATGGCACGTAACAACAACAATAACAACAAAAGGGGGGAAAAAATCTGTGAGCCACAGAAAGCCAATGGACCTGCAGTTTGCATTGCAACCTCTGGACCTATAGATAAGCACATGTTCCAGACCTGATTGCTTTCTTGTTAGATCTGTGGGCATGTCACTTTGCATCAGCTCTGCTCACCCATGGCTCAGTGAACATTTCCCTGTCTGCATTGGTTGGAGGCTGCCCTTATAAGCATTTTCTTCTTGGACAGCCCTTCACCAGACCACCCTGTTACCCAGTTTGGTGCTGTCTCTTTAACCAACTCATTTCCAAGAATGAGCAAAGTCCTCGACACCCGAGATGTACAGAATATTATGCATAAACTCAGCAACTCTCTACCCACTGGATGAGTTGTAGTCTCACATTTCAGAAAGCATTTAGAATTCTAAATTCTCTGCTCTAGAAATGGGTTTTAGAACCCAAAGCTGTAAAGAATGAACTCACTTGGTCACACACCTACCACACTGCACTGTGAGGGGAACAGGATACCATTTACCATAATCCTCATGACACTCCTCTCTGGTGAGTATCCTTATCACCACTTTACAGATAAGGAAGCTAAAGCACAGTATAGTTCAGAGGAAGAGCAAAGATCTGAATGCTACCATTCGGATTCTTTGCACTACAGCACAGATGAAGAACCCTAACATTTTTGCAGCTTTCAAACCTTAAGACGGCCAGTCATGGCCTTGAGCTCCATGTATAGAGGGCAGCGCACTCTGGAACAAGATTCATAGCCCCAAGGGGCTATGGCCATGCCCAACACCCAATTGACACAAGCCTGCTGAAAAGAGCCTTCCAGTATCATCTTTCCTTGCCTGCTTTGCATTCTTGTCTTCTTCAACTTTCATGACCTTCCCTCCCTTCACTTCAGCTCCTGGCTTTGGCTCCAGCTCCAACTCCACATCCACACCCTTTCCCCCCTGGCAATGTATAGTACTTGGGCAGACAAGATGGCTCCTATCTGGCCTGTCACTAGATTTAGGGAAGACTGCAAATCCCTCTCCTTCATTCTAAACAGCTGACTGCACAGACACTAGCTCTCTTTGGCTGTGATAGTCTCTGAAATTTCCCACCATTACCACCACCAGGGCTAACATTGACCGGATCTTCTTTCTTGTTCTCCACTGTCTACTTTACTACTTCTTTCCTGTCTCTACCAGAGCATCAGAGGGCACTTAGTTTTCCTGCTGGGCTCAATTTGTTTGTTATTAGGCTGCCTCTTAACCACTGAGTGGACATATGTATGTGTGTATTTTCTTCAGATCAGATCCCTGAATTCTCCCACAGCCAATTTTATACATTCTTTTAAAAGAAGGCAGGTGATATATAAAGTAGGAGTAATTATTGAATGCTATTGCATTAACCCTAATGGGCCAGTGAACTCAAAGAGCAGTTAGCAGCAGTAATCTTTTTAGAAAAAGAGTCAGAATGCCTGATAAGACTAGTTTTTTGTTTGTTTTTTTTTTTTTTACAAAATGAGAATTCTACCTAACTGCTCCTTGTAGAGGACATATTGTCCTGTTTCTAAGAAGTCTCTTTTTCCTCTGCAAAAGCTAGAAAAGAGTTTTTCCAATTCTAGCTGGATCATATGTGATTTAATGGTTTCCTGTCTTTGTGATCAAATTCTTTTTTTTTTCTTTTTTTGATGCAGTATTTTTATTGTTTAAATAGTTATTTCTCAGCTTTCTTTCTTCCTTTCTCTCTCCCTCTCTCTCCCTCTCTTTCTTTCTTGCAAACCTACAGAGCAGGATTTGTTTTACATTCAACATTTCGTGTACATTTTGTTTCACTCCCTAATTACGATCCTCAACCCTAACCCACTCTCCTCCTCTCCTTTCCCAGTAACACCCCCCCATGCCCTCTTAGTTATGCACTCCTGTCTGTCCAGCTTTTCCCCAGTGTGAATGTTGCCCCTCTAGTACTCCATGGCTGATTGCTCCAAAGGATGTACCTCTGTAGAGTAGGTGGGTTCATCGCCCTGGGTTGAGTGGTCTGCATTTACGTCTTATTTAATATTGGGTCGAGAGCCAGCCCATGGGAGTGAGTTTTATCCCAGGCTTGAAGTGTATCCCAGGGCCATAGTTTTGGGGGTCCCACGAGACTCCATTCGACCAGTAACTCTGGTCATTATTTTATTTTTGGATTTTGTTCCATGTTTTTCCTCCCACTCTATCCAGGATCTCCAGTTTTGATCCCTTCCTGAGTGGCTGGCATTGGTAGCCAGGCACCATCTAGGTCTTCTGGTCTCGAGGTCCATCATGTCCTAGGGCTGATTTTTTGCACTCTTCTTCACTTCTGATGATAGGAGACTGTTAGCTGCATCTTAGATGGCTGCTCAAAAGCTTTTAAGACCCCCGTCGCTATGCACCCATGTAGGTTGTGGAACAAGATTTTTATGTATTTTGTTGTGCCAATTGAGTTTGGTGTCCCCAAATACTATGGTTTTAAGTCGTAGATCCATTGGATCTCTCTCCCACAGAGTCTGGCTGTCTATGAAGGATTGCTCTATGTCTGTTTTCTGTTGTTTCTGTAGTGATTGGGGGTATTCTGTATCACTAGTATCTGTGGAAGATTAGCCTCAGCTGAATCTATCTTTGATCTAGACTATAATCCTGTTCACTGACTCCCATCTGATCTTCTCAGGTGTTTATGTGTTTATCTGTAGCCTGGTGTTTGGTGCTAATGGTGATGTGGTATTGTGGATATACTGGTATTAGCCTCTGTCATCTGTGTCTTATGTGCACAATTTGGTGTCCTCCCTTTCCCCAATGTTATCATGCTGGTCACAGACTCTTTCCATACCATCCCTCCCCTTACCAACCTCAGCGTGTGGCCCCCAACTAGCTGGAAATTATTCCTGCCTCTTCCCTTCCTTCCTCTGTAACCTACAAAGTGAGTTCCCTTCCTTAAGCAAAGCTTCCTTGTCTTTTTACAGTAATGGGCTTAAAAATATTTGTCCTTCTGTGATTGACTTATTTCACTCAGCATAATGTCCTCCAGGCACATCCATGTTATAAGATGATTCGCATATCCTTCATTGTTCTTTAATGTAGCATAGTATTCCATTGGGTGAATGTACCATGGTTTGGTTATCCATTCATCTGTTGATAGGCATCTAGGTTGTTTCCATCTCTTTGCTATAGTGAATTGTGCTGCGATGAACATGGGTGTGCATATGTCTGTTCGTGTCCTGTCTCTCACCTCTATAGGATATATTCCTAGTAATGGAATTGCTGGTTCAAATGGTATTTCTATTTTCAGTTTTTTAAGGAAACACCATACCGTATGCCACAATGGTTTTACCATTTTATAGTTCCACCAGCAGTGTATGAGAGTTCCAATCTCTCCACAACTTCGCCAGCAATTGTTATTTACTGCCCTGTTGACCTTTGCTATTATTGCTGGGGTGAGATGGTATCTCATCATTGTTTTGATTTGCATCTCTCTAATGACTAATGATCATGAGCAATTCCTCATACACATTTGTTGCTTGCCAGCATATCATCGTTAGTGAAATGTCTGTTCATGTTCCTTGCCCATTTTTGAATTGGATTGTTTATCTTTTTGGTGTTGAGGTGCTGAAGTTTTCCATAGATTTTGGAGATAAGTTCTTTGTCAGATAGGTCATAGGCAAGTATTTTCTTACAATCTGTAAGTTCTCTTTTTATCTTTTTGATGAAGTCTTCCAATGCGTATAAGAATTTAATAATAATGTTGGCCTTTGGCTTTACATTTATTATTGAATTTATTACTTGCCCTTTATTATGTTGAGGAGTTTCCCTTCTATCCTATTTTGCTGAAAGTTCTGAATAGGAATGGGTGTTGAATTTTATTAAATGCCTTTTCTGCGTCGACTGATATGATCATATGGTTCTTTTGTTTTGTTTATGTGGTGGATTGCAATTATTCTTTTTCTGATGTTGAATCATCTCTTGCATACCAGGTATGAATCACACTTGGTCAGGATGTATTATTTTTTTGAAATATTATTGGATTCTGTTGGCTAGGATTTTGTTGAAGATTTTTACATCTATGTTCATGAGGGATATTGGTCTGTAGTTGTCCTTTTTAGTGGTGTCTTTCCCTGGTTTTGGTATCAGTGTTATGCTTGTTTCTTAAAATGAGTTTGGGAGTATCCCATCTTTTCCTTTGTTCTGGAATAGATTGAGTAGTATAGGTGTCAGCTCTTCCCTGAACATTTGGTAAAATCTCCAATGAAGCAACCAGGGCCAGGACATTTTCTTGTGGGAAGTTTTTTTTGTTTTTTTTTTAAGACCTGTTCAATTTCTTCCTTGTTATGGGTCTGTTCAAGTATTCTGTCTCTGACTGGGATAGTTTAGGTAGGTCTTGTGTTTCTAGAAACTTGCCCATCTCTTCTGTGATCTCAAATCTGGAGTACAGTTCTTCATAATTTTCTGTCAGTATCTTTTTATTTCAGTTGGTTCTGTTGTGATGCCACCCTTTTTGATTATTATTCTTGTTATTTGCATCTTTTCCTTTGTTAGATTTGCCAATGATTTGTCAATTTTGTGAATCTTTTTGAAGAACCAGCTTCTGATTTTGTTGATTTTCTCCATTGTTTCTCGTTTTCTGTTTTGTTTATTTCTGCTCTGATCTTTATTATTTCCTTACTTCTGGATACTGTGGGATTCTTTTATTGTTCTTTTTCTAATTGTTGGAGTTGTTGAGTGTTGATTTTGTTTCTTTCCTCTTTTTTCATATGAGCATTTATTACCATAAATTGACCTCTGCGTACTGCTTTCACTGTGTCCCATAGGGTTTGGTAGGATGTATCTTCATTCTCATTTGTTTCTAGGAACTTTTTTTTAATTTTACTTTTTATTTCTTCTATTACTCAGTAGTTTTTGAGCAGTGTATTATTCATCTTCCATGTTTGATGTTTTTTTCCTTGAGCTTCCTATTATTAATTTCTAATTTTATAGCATTGTGGTCCAAGAAGATGCTTTGTAGTATTTCAATGTTTCTGAATTTATTGAGGCTTGTTGTATGTCCTAACATATGATCTATTCTGGAGAATAATTCATGTGCACTGGAGAAAAATTTGAATTGTGCTTTTGTTGGGTGGAGTGCTCTGCATATGTCTATGAGGTCAAGTTGGCTGACTGTGTTTTTGAATTCTTCTGTATCTTTGTTGAGTTTTTTTTTTCTAGTTGATCTGTTCCTCCTTGAAAGTGATGTGTTAAAGTCTCCTATTACTATTGTAGAACTATTTTCCCTTTCAATTCAATTAGCATTTGCTTCATGTATTTTGGAGCATTTTCATTGGGTGCATAGATATTTATTACAGTAATGTTTTTTTGATCAATTGACCCTTTCAGCATCATATAGTGACCTTCTTTGTCTCTTATGTTGTTTTTCACCTAAAGTCTATTTTATCAGAAATTAAAATTTTCACTCCTGCTCTTTTTTGGTTACTGTTGGCTTGGAATATTTTTTTCTACCCCTTAACTTTCCATTTGTTTTTATCTTTTGTGTCTAAGGTGGGTCTTTTGTAGGCAGCATATCGATGGGTCTTATCTTCTTATCCAGTCTGCCACTCTCTTTCTCTTGACTGCAGCATTTAGTCCATTCACATTGAGCATAATTAGTGATAAGTATGAATCGATTGCTGTCATTCTATTGTGTTTTTTTTTGTCATGTAGTTGGAGTTTCCTTGGTCCATATACTTTTCTGTGCTGAGCTCATTTTCTTGTCAAGTGTTTCCTCTCTTTTCTTTTTTGTTGTTGGTTGCTTACTAAACCCATATGTTTTCTTTCTTTCTGGGTTTGCTTAGTGAGATTGTTAATTTTCTCTGTGGTTACCGTGGAGTGAATTTTTTACTCTATATTTTTTGAACAGTCTGTTCTATAAGGACATTCTCCTGTTTTCCTCATTGTCTGGTCACCTAGAGCTGCTCTAACAAGAATATACCACAAATAGGATGGCTTTAATAAACAGGAGTTTATTCTCTTACAGTTTGGAGGCTTTAAGACTGAGTTCAAAGTGCCAGACTCTAGGGGCTGGGTGAAAGCCCCTCAACCTTTGGCTTCAGCTCTGCCTCTTGCTCCCAGTCCACTGAAGCTAGAGTTTTTTTCACTCAGACAGCTGCTGGCTGCTGAGACTGACAAGCCCAAGGTTGAAAAGTAAAAGATGCACAGTCCCAATGTTACCAAACCACACAGCAGGCCATTAATTCAAGTCTATTAAAGTCCCAAGATCAGCAGAGCATGGCAGGCTGCTGAACAATGGCACAGCTACATGCAGGGTTCAAGCATGCCATAAGCTAAAGACCATTCCCAAAGCTGTTTCTTATATATGGGAAGCGGAATACATATCCATAGCAGCTTCTCAGCTACTCCAATAGATTCCACCATGGAGTTAATTACCAATTTCACAATGGGGAATAATTACATTCAGCTGCCCAGCCACTCAACCAGGCCCAGCCAAGTTGACACACAAACTTAGCCACCACACTCTCCATTTGGAAGTTTTGTACCTAGAACTTTTATTCCCTCTATTTGGTTAGTTGCTGGTGTCGTGTGCAGATTGACTTCCTTGTTTTTCAGTGTACAATGTTTTATGGGCTCATTTTGAGCATCTATTTCTGGTTTGGTTTTAGTATTGATGTCATGTGTCCTGATTTGTTGTTCTCTGTTATAGGTTCTCTATTGGAAGGACTTCATTAAGCATTTCTTCACAAAATCCCTTAATTTCTGTTTGTCTGAGAATGTCTTGATTTCACCTTCATATTTGATGGACAATTTGGCTGGATAAGGGATTCTTGGCTAGAAGTTCTTTTCCTTCAGTGTTTTATATGCTGTCCCACTGCCTTCTTGCTTGCATGTTTTCTGCTGAGTAATCAGAACCCAGCCTAACCATTTGACTATTATAAGTGATATTTCTTTTCCCCAGACTGCTTGAAAGATTCTTTCTTTGTCTTTGGTTTTGGAGAGTTTGATTATGATATGTCTTGATGATTTTCTCTTGTGATCCATCCTGTCTGGGATTCTTTGAGCATCCTAGACAAGTATTTTTCTTCCTTCATGATATGGGGGAAATTTTCTGTTAGTAAGTCATCTACAATTTTCTCAGTGGTTTTTTTTTTTCCACCTCTTCTTGTTTTGGAATTCCAGTTAGGCATATGTTGTTTCTTTTCATGTCATCCCATATAACTCTTACATTCTCTTCATCTCTCTTAAATCTTTGTTCTGATTTTTTTTCTTACAGGTCATAAAGGGATTCAACTTCTGGTTGAGAAATGCATTCTTCAGCCAGTTCTAGCCTATTATTTTGTGCTTCCACTGTGTTGTGTAATTCTGTAATTTTAGTATTGCTCCTCTAGATTTCTAACTGCTGTATGGGGAGCTCTGGTGGTGTAGTGCTTAAGGCATTTGACTGCTAACCAGAAGGCTGGAGGTCTAAGCCCACCAGCCACTCCTCGAAAGGAAGGCTGGGCAATCTACTTCCATAGTGATACTGCCTGGGAAACCCAAGGAGGGGTTGCTATGAGTTGGATCCAACTTGACAACAGTGCATTTGTTTTTTTTTTTTTTTTGGTTTTTGTATGAGTTCTGACTGTGTATTAATCTTGTTATTCTGTTCTTGAATGGTTTTCCTGAGTTCTTCCAGGGTGCTGTCTTTGTTCTCCTTGGTTCTGTTTGAGGTTTCTTTAAGCTCCTGTAGAGTTCTATAAACATATCTTCTAAATTCTTTCTCAGATAATTCTATTGCCTCCTCTTCCTCTGTGTTTAATAAGACTTTCGTTTGAGATTTTATTTCTATTGTCTTATCCTGTTTTTTGTTTGATTTGAGGTTGCCCATTGTTTCCAGATATTTTGAAGTTGTTGTCTTTATCTGTTAGTTATGTATTGGTTTGTTTTGTCTTGATTTTATGACTTCATATTTTTACAAATGTGGAGATGGTGTATTTTATTTTTTTGGTTATTAATTCAGGCATGCTGTGTTGCTCTGCAGTTTTCTTTGTGATGATGGAATCACTGTATGGAATGTGGATACAGATCTCTGTTCATCATGAAGGGGGTTTAGGATTGGTACAGGCAGGTGTTGTGGTGGCTTAATGTGGTTCTTCTATTGGATGAGGTAGGGGAGAGGCAGGGAAAGGAGGAAGAAAAGAGGAGAAAAACTCCAAGGACCAGTAGCTGTGTCCAGGGCTCTGGGTAGGCTGCTAATGATGGCGTTATATGATCACTCACATGCCTGCAGCTCAAATTTGGCAAAGACCTCAATGGTTAGGGGGTTGTCACTTTCTGCCAGGTTCAAACAGCTACAAAAACCCCATACCTTGGGCCCCTCCATGCCAAAAAGCTGTCCTGGAATAGTGGGACCCCTGCCCTGCGCCGAGAGCTTGTCCTAGGGCCTGTCCATTTGCAGCGTGCATCCCAACGACCCAAGCCAGAGAGGTCTCCACTCCACCTCTCAGAAATGCCACCATCCCACTTGGCACTGGTCCCAAAGTTACTGATAGAAGCCAGTGCTGTAGATAGATCCCTGAAGTGGCTGCTGGTCTTCTGGTGCTTCTGCTCCACTACCCTGGGAGCCCTCTGATGCTCTGTCTCACTGGCTGGCAAGCCACGGGGCATGTTCATTTATTTTTATTCTTCCTGGCTATTTACCCTCCTTCTCCCTCCTTTCTTCTCCTTTTTCACTAAATCTGGTCTTCTCCAACTTAATGAGCTGGTTCAGAGCCCAGAATCCCCACTTCAAACTGCTGCACCTAGTTTTTCAAGCATTAGGATGCTAGAGGAAACAAATATGTGGGCTACAGGTAAGACGCCATCTTGAAAGTTCCTGTGATCAAATTCTGACATTATTTTACAGAACTTTTGTATTGTTACCAAGTGGAAGAGGATACATGACCAAAACACAAAACAACAACCACAACCCAAAAATACATGTGACTAAAATATATGTAGTTTTCTAAACTATTATAATGTATAGAAAATGCATTAGAGATTACAAAAGGGGAATAGTAATTGCCTCTTAAAAGCAAGAGGTTAGGAAAGGGCTTGTTACATCTAGCACATTCTTTCTTTGGAAAAAAGCACTATTGCTGAGAATATTACCTTTACATAGAATAGCTTTGCATCAGCTGAGGGTCTGATACTTAGAGTTATTTCTCACCAAAAATAGCTGTTTTTTGGTTAGAAAGTATGGTCTCTTTACACAGTAACTGTTACTCAAGCTTAAAGGTTCAAGTTCAGGGCTTTGGGTCTGTTTAGTTAGTTTTTAATTAACATTAAGACTTTATTCATTAGCTCAGCCCAG